AGGCATTTATAGTAAATGTTATTTTTTGTAATATAGATGGATTTTCTTGGAAAGTAATCGCAGGATTCAAAATACCATGTATTACACGTTTAGTTGATGGTAAACAATTGGAGTTTGTATCTACACAGATTGCAGAATATAGGCTTCTTAAAAAATATTTACGAAATGTACATTCAGATATTTATACAACATGTACGTCTGTGAGAGGTTATGTGATCACCGATTTGGAAGCAAAGATATTAAATTACATAATAAAAAAACATTATGGGAAAGATATCCAATTCTTTGCAGGAAAAGATTATATCGTTCTCTTAGAAGATTTTTTTAATTTTTATATATTCTTAGAAGTATGTTACACAAAATTACTGTGCAATAATGTTTCAAGTTACAAAGACAAATGCGGTTTTATATTTGTTGATTCTGTATCCGTTATACCATATTGTACAGTAGGTGGCCAAAAATATGTGCCTTTATTCTTCTTTGAAGACGATACAAAAACCCTAATAAATTATGCTGAAAAATTGGTAAATTGGAACTTAGCATATCTAAAGTTCTGTTGTAAACTTGCGGGTATCAAAGATAAATGGTTTGCTAGTGACCATTGGACAGTTGTCAACTTTGATCATATCAAGAATTTGTTACCACCAGAAACAAATTTTAATGATTTTTGGCCTACTATGCTGTCAGATTCATTTCTCTTTACTCGTCAGAAGTCTATCCGTCAAAACCCACCAGGTTCCTGGTTCAAAGTACTTCCTGAAGTAGTAACTGATGAAAAAACTTTAAAAGCACCAGTGGTACCACAGAGAACGGAAGTGATGACGACCCAGATGGTATGTGTTTTGTACTCAATTTATTGAATTGCTACAATACTTTTGGTTTTTGGAACATAAAAAAATTAATTGAAGTCACATGATATTTTTACATTTTTTCAGAATGTTTTACTAGCCTTTTTACTCCATAAAATCATCTATTTTGGCTCTTTTTGAGCTATTTACAAGCATCAGATAATTTCGATTTTTATTAGTTTTTTTATTATTAAAACAATTTTTGTTTCATTAAGCAACTTGCTAAGTTTACACAAGTTACTCGTTAAATTTTGTTTGTAAAAATAAAAATAATAATCATAAATCCACAATGGTTCTAATGACTATGACTGTATGATGTAAGCAAAGAAAATCTACCAAAAATGCGCAGATTTATTTTTTTCCGTTTGAAATTCACATGTTATCAATATTGAATATTTCACCATAAATAACTATTTTACCTACATTTTTTTATTTTGTATTTTGTTATAATTTAAAAAAACAATAACCAGACGTACTTTTCACCAAATATTTATTTTATTATTTTCAATAGCTACAACAGGAACAGCAACAACAAGAAGTAATTACCATTCCACTAACTCAATCACATGATAATTCAAATAAACCTGCATACAAGGTTGGTAATGTTAAATATTCTAAGAATGACTAAATTGTTGGGGACTAGAATAAAAAAACATATTTTTTAAACTTTTATAAAATATAAAATCTTGATACCTTTTTTATACATTACATAATTTTACATTATGTTTTTGTATTTAAAAACAAGTGTATATTTATTTACATGAAAAGCAAAAAATCTTCAACTAATTTTAGTGTGTTATTATTTAATATTCATTTAATAAAAATGAGATACTACCATAGATTTTAACTTTAAATTATTATCATTTTAATTTTGTTAGCAATTTTTTACATAGATGTTTTGTATTTAGTATGTCCATATTAATAGATACTAGTTTCTCTAAGCTGATATTATTTTTCAAATTATCATGTTTTTTATAATACTTAAGTCAATTTGCATTAATTTATAAATAAATATAAGTTTTTTATTTTATTATAGATTCAAATAACATCACTTGAAGGAAAAATKATCTACTGTATAAATGCCAAACCTTGCATGTATTCAGATTTTGTGGTGACTTTGAAAGAACTAGTTCAGATGGTGTTACCTTTGTGCAATGTTGCAAAATGTGCCCATATCCTGTACAAATATTTAAAAATAACACTTTTATTTGGAAATTCGTAAGTATCTATACTCTCCCTCTTTTAATTATCATTACTTCCTACTAATTGTGTAACACTGAAAGTGGATAATACATATTTTTGGTCGTTTGTTTGACAGTGAGCAGTTGGCTGTATTATTGGAGAACAAACTCATCAGGTCAATGAACCCAGCAGACACACCAATGGTCATGCTACAAGACATTAAAGAAATATTGCCGCTGTTAAAGAAATTGGTGTCAATGCAAGATGAAGCAATAGAGCAATACCTATCTGTAGGTGGGCCGTTCAAATCACCACACACCGGCTAGGAATTTGCCAGTCACTACCGGCAAAAGATAGGTCAACTTGAAAAAAGGKTATTTAAGAAGTTGTTTATACCTACCTTTTGTGTTAACAAATAAAAAAAAATTAGACTTGTATAAATTATGATGTTTAATTTTACTTAAAAAAAATAAAAATTTGTTGGTGTCTTATTAGAAATTATGACATACTATCAGTTACTTAATATTACAAAATTGGTTAATTTTCTAGTATGTTATTACATCTAGCAAACAGTCTGCAAATCAATACCCAATACAGTGTTTGTCAAGTGGAGTACGACTACATAATGACAATTGTATGTATTGATGGTTAAAATGTATAATACTACCTATTATAATAAATTCAAGCTATATATGTCTGAATGAAAATATTTGAATAGTTTAAGTTTTAATTAATATTATGATACACATAAATTGATTAATATGAATTATGAATTATATTATAAAATGTATTCTAATATTGTTAATAACACATATTCCACAAACATATGTAAAACATTATAAGATGACAATATTTTTGTCACTCTTGCACTTGAATTTGTTTTTATGCCAGTGAAGTATCAGGAAATTACATGGCCTCTATCAAGAAACTACCTACCTAAATACAAAAGCGTATCAAATTGTATTTGGTTAGACCTATAGGTATTGCTTTTACTAGCCACTTGTAATGTACAAAATCTTAATAAATTGCTAAAATTTTCTCAGCTTTACTTTTTCAACTTTGAGAATAGTGTAGAAAATTTGTTGTATTTCAACAAGGTTGGAAGTTAAAAGACAAATTTTAAATTAATGTAAATCAATGTATGTTTCATTGCTGAACAATCTTTATTTGAGAATAAAAAAGCAAATAATCAAGATTTCACTTGATACTATGAATAATAAAAACCTTAACATAAATCCACATTACATTTTTATGACTATATTGAAAAAAAAATTTGTTGTAATTGGTTATCTCAACAAAACAATAGGGATTTGAAACATTTTGCAATTAGTATTTACTATTTACACAACAAAATATTTTAAGCTATTTATACTAAGAATTATGGACARTATGGTCCAATGGTCACTCTGCTAGCCATGATGTACAGTTGGTATGAACCTGAAAAACAATACTTTGTAGTCTCTCTCCTGCCTTTGTTCCAACCGGAACATTCCACCGGGAGTGATGTCTACAAATACGAAAATTATTCTATAAAGAAAAGCCTACCCTCTGTGTGGTAGATGTATTATATATTTCTCAAAAAAAAAATAATGCATTTGAAAAACTTCTGAGTGGAGACGTATCATCCTAGCTATTTGTTCATATTCATGTTATAAAAGGGTTCTTCCCATATTGTTAAAATAAAAAATCGAAATTATCTCATGGAAATAGTGAAAATTTTGACAAAATATACAAGCTATTTAGTTGTTAAAAATATATAAAACGTTTAAATTTTATACAAGGTTTAGAAGTAAGTTGTTAATTCTGCAACAAAAAATAAAATCTAAAATCTAACAAATACAAACACGGTTTTTTATAATTATTTCAAGTTCAAATTTGGATGGAAATATGTATTGAATAACCAAGAATAATAATATTAGTTATTTTGTTGTAATTTAAAAATATTATTTATGGGTACCTACTTGATATTTAGATTTTTTKAAATTGAGTATACCTACTTATATTCTAATTGTAATAGTTAATGGCATTAATAACTTATACTAATTAATGAATCTAATTTGATTACTTTTGAATTTATTTTATATGTAACTACATTTTTTTTTTAAAATATTAACAATATAATTAATATAGTATAAAATATCCTAGACTGCAAATCGTCTCCGCTCAGAATCGTTTTTCATATACAATAATATTATATCATTGTGTATTTGTGTTCAAATTTAAAACCATAAAATACAGTAACCTAATGTACAGCAGTGTGATATCCACTTTTTTGTTTTATTTTCATAAATATAATTAGAAATATTTTTAACAACATTAGCATAATAATTAATTAATCCATAAAAATGTCAATTTTATCTGTTAAAAGAGAATTAATATAATTGTTTTCAATAGAGTGAATAGGATTTTATTTATAAATTACAGGTTTCGTTATTGAAGTTTCCAGGAATTCAAATGTTATGAGAAAAAAATAAATTGATTATTCTAATATGAATTAAGAGTTTTACAGTTAGRTTGAAATGTGATTTTGTATTTTTAGGTTTAATTTATGACATCTATTTTTTATTGAAACCAGAGTCCAGAAATCAATTAATTAACCAAAGATTATTAAATATTATTAAATATTTTTAAATTATCCACATAATAACACGAAACTATATCAAATAAAAGTTAATAATAATTTAATTGTTATTGAGGGGATAAATTATAATAATTAATTTCCATGAACTACAATAATTAATAAATAAGTGAATTTAGTATAGGTAATTTGGGATTGTAGTAAGCATAGTTTTTAGATAATAAAAAATAGATGGGGGTGAGTAACTTATTTAACTATGTGTGTTTTCAATATATTATTAGTTATATATTTTAGAACTTAAGGTGTCAAGACACAACTAACAACCTTTGAAAAGATGTTCATTTAATTTTTTGCATATGTTCCCTACAATAAAGTTATGGTACTTTTGACTTAAATCACTTAACTCTCAGATATGTTAGAATTTGATTTCTTCTGGAACAGTCACTCTCAATTGTGTCGTCACAAAATTGGGACATACAAATACAATTCTCCTTCTCACTCCCCTCCAACAAAAACAAAATGAAAAATGGGAAAAATATTAAATAGTGGCGTCGCTAAATTAGAATTTAATATTAGTATCAAACAAAACATTATTTTTAGACACATTAAACACTGAGTAATATTTTTGCCAGTAAAAAAAAACCATATTATTTCAAACTTAGTGTATAGGTATATAAATGTACAATAATTTATACAACACAAACGAAATAATATTAATTTTGGTACTCTGACTAGGGTAGGTTAGATTTGAAAGCAATGATAGGTATCATTGTATACGAATAACGATTCTGAACGGAGATGATTTGTCGGTCTAGGATATATTATATTTAAATATTGTCATATATTCTATTTTGAAACAAATATATTATTTTTTAATTAGGACGCATTTTGAGTAAGGTATGGTTAATCATTAAACATCAATAAATCTGTTTTATTTTATTCTTACAAACTTAACAGTAAAATAAAAACATAAAAACATATAAAAATCAAAATTAATGAAAACTTATTTCTTAGTACAATGTAAGATAAATATTTCAAAATAAACAATTAGTTCTTTTAAAAACAATATAATGAATACCAATAATATAGGAATATTATTATACTATTATTATACTTGATTTTTTTAAAAAAACCAGTCAAGTGCGAGTTGGACTCGCGCACCGAGGGTTCCGTACAAACCTGTAGGTGTATAAGTAAAAGTTCACCCATMACGACAATCGAGTCATAGTTATGGTATTTTTATTGCATAATGAAATTTATAACATCAAAATTAGAAAGCTGGAGGACCATAAATACGCGTTCATGAGGAAAAGGATTAGAAGTTTAAAATTATTTGAAAAAAAAAATGTGATCTAACTAAAAATTTAAGGTTTTCGGAATTTTTCTGTTATATATGCGATAAAACATTGCTTCATGCCGAATTTCGAGATTCTAAATCGACTTGAAGTACCCTATAGGTTTTGATTCCCTCGCAAGTAGTCGCGAGTTTGAAAATATGATTGCGATAAAAGTTTGATTTTGTTACAGTTTAAAGGTATTATAGACTTAAGTATTTAATATGAATTTTAATTTAATACCTCAACGCGTTCATAAGATAAGGAGTAGTAATAGTAGTAAAGTAGTAACTTTGAAATTTTCAAAATTGTCAAAAATATTTTTTTTGTTATATGATGAAACTAAAAATTTACGGTTTTCGTAATTTTTCCTATATCTGACGTGACTTCGTACTAAATTTCAAGATTCTAAGTTCRCGGGAAGTACYCTGTAGGTTTTGATTCCCGTGCGAGTTTCGAAAATTTGCGGCCTAAATGGCTGTATCTTTTGATTGCGTTGGCTTAGAAGGTTTCTACAGCTTCCAGGGACAGTAGACCTGAGTATCATATAGAAATTTCARTTTGATACCTCCACGCGTTCCTGAGAAAAACGAATGTAGGAAAAAAAGTCCCTGGAAAAAAAGATTCGGAAAAAAAGTCCCCGGTGAAAAAGTCCCCGGTAAAAAAGTCCCACGGAAAAAAAGTCCCACGGAAAAAAAGTCCCCAAATTAATATTTGATTTAAATTAAGTCTTTTATCGTATAGGTATTTATAATTTATATAGGTACATAGCCCATAGGTTACTTACATGTTACATATTTTGCTGAAGATAATTAACAAACAACTAAATTAAATAGG